ATGTATATGAAAATATACAAGATTATTTTTACCATCTTAAAATTTATCTACACAACAAATCAAGTAAAAGTAATGTAAGGGTGTCTTCTGTTTATTTTAAACAATCGCGAACAAAATGAACAAGTTCAATTACATCACATGTTCTCATAGTAACATTCTCGTTTAGATCTCCAAGTGTTGGTGTGGACTTGATTGACCATCATAGGAATAAATTATGTTACCCCCTCTTTTTAAGTGTCAATGTTAATGCTCGAATAAATTTGTAGTACTTAAAAGCAGTGTGTGATGATGGAAGTATTTAAGTTGTATGTGACGCAATCAAAGCCGATGATAAAGTCTTTGTTATATACGAAAGACTACCTTTCATTCTTTTTAAGTTTCCACATAAGTAAATCAAAATTAAACATCAGACACGTTCGTCTTCCCTTTCATATTTTTAATAATATTTATAGTATTTTAATTATTGATTTCACATGTTAATTTTTGGAAGAAATATTGTAACTTTTACAATTTTTTACATTTTAACTTAAAACCATATATTTTATTAACATTAATATTTGTTTTAATAAAATAATTAAATACAATTAAATGTTTTTTGTTATAATTAAATACTAATATTATTGATATATTATTATTAAATGAGTGTTATTAATTATAAATTAAAAATCTGAAGTAAACCAAATTCTTTAAAAACAAATTTAAATCACCAAAATGACCATTTTCTATTCACACCAATTTTACCAAATTCAGTAATAGAAGGTATTTTTTTAACTAGGATGAAGTTCTTTGGTTAAAATTTGTATTTAATATAAATATCATTTTGTGCTTTTGTATCATTAAGATCTTTTAAGTTGTGCAGTTCTTTTTTTAATCATATTATGAATCATTTCACAATACTTGTTAGTGAGTCGTTCTTTTTGATAATTCAGTCGAATTTTCAACTGTTCTCCATTCACGGCTTTTTTAAGTGCCATCCCAAGTATTTCATTAAAATTGCATTTTTGATTTGGTTGTGATTGTACATTTTGATATTTTAAAGCATCTTTTTTTTCTCAATCATATCACCAATGGATGGCTCTGTTTCATTATTAATTATTTCCATATGCAATGGAAGTTGGGTGTATAATTGGAGGAAACTTGATGTTTTCTTGTTTGAGTTGTTCAAAACAAGGAAAATTAACATGTTTCATTTGTGAAACTGTGCTGTTTACATTTTCAACTCTTTTCATATCTGATTGTTGTTGTATATGTTTATTTAAAATGGTATTTTCATTTTTTATTGTTTCTGTTTGCACATCTTTATTTGTTAAGTGTGCAACCGTGTTTTGAAGTTTAACTT